GTCCCCAAGGCTGGGTGGTGACACAGCTTTGGCTCTTTCGTTGTCTGCCTGTGTTAAGCTCATACGTTTACTTTTTAGGACACCCCTGCATCTCGCTTGTGCGTACGGCCATGCGGATGTCGTCAGATACCTAGTACGAAAGAACTGCCAGCTGAACCTTGCTGACAGTTTCGAGAGATCGCCACTGATGAAGGTATGACGAATATGTTCCGCTCTTGTAAGCTGGGCCTACTGATGGTGCATTAAATGAGAGGTGTCTGGCAGGATTCTTCGCACAGCCCTGCGTAGAAACATGCATGCTGTACTCAGCGCGGAATAGGCATGTGTTAGCTAATCTTTGAAGATGCCCTCCCTGCCCAGAGTTTGGAAGCTGGGCGAGTTGCGACAGTGATGTGCAAGTGTTGGAAGTCTTTCCCTTCTTGTGTGTCGTTCCCAGGCAGTACAGTGCCAGCAAGAAGAATGCGTGGCTATACTCCTAGAGCATGGTGCTGACCCGAATCTGGCCGATGCTGATGGCAACACGGCCCTTCACCTGGCTGTCCTGTCTCCTAATACAACTGTAGCAGGGCTGTTACTTGAGCATAATGCCAATATTGACGCTCAGAACCAGGTAACCTTGGCGTTTGGTAAAGCTGCTCTTTCGAAAAGGTGCCAAACTTGTTTGTGTTTTTCCAAATGGAATTATTTGTCCTTTCAGGATGGATATACCCCTCTTAATCTTGCTGTCTCCAGACACGAGGAGGAGATGGTAGAGTTTCTTCAGACAAAAGGAGCTGACAGGTATGCTCACAATCAGCATGAAAGGTGAGGGGTTTGTCAAAACGGCGCATGGATCTCCTTAGTCATCTGCAAGTGTGACTGATGAGAGGCATGGGCATGAGTTTTGAAAAAGAAGGAGCCACGTGGAAGCAGTCCCTTGAAGTGACTGGTAAAAGAAGGTCTGCATTTGACTGCTCTCATACCTCAACTGTTCTCATACTTTCCGCATGGGAGACTGCAAGAAAGCATCTCTCCGCAGACCCAGCCCCAGCCCCAGACCCTGCAGGAAACTTGCCTTGAGCTCAGCAGCACCACTGCTTTGCAGAAGGTGGCTTTTTTCAGTAGGGGCAGAGCTGGTGCGTAAGTGTCATCAGTGGAAGTGTTGGGAGAAAGAGAGGCAACGCTGTCCAAGGGGCAAGGTCCATAAAGTGAAACATGAGGAGAAAACTTTTCGGCATGAGGAGGATGGTCAGGCAGCCAAAGAGCGCAGCCTCCATCCATGGTGGCTTTGCAGGGCAGAGCAGAAGGAGCCCTGAAACAGCATGTCTGACCTCAGGTGAATCTGCTTTGTGGAGGTGGTTGGCCTAAAGACCTCCTGAGGTCCCTTCCAACCTGAATT